CTCAGACAAGCTGTATAAATTCTGGAATCTGAACAGATGTAGAGAAGAGAGCAAAGCAAAAAAAACAGGTACAACTTATGTAGGCTATTTGCTTCATCTCTGTGTATCACTTGACGCCAGTCATTTCACAGGGTGTATGTAAGGGTTTACAACCAAATGAATGCAGACAATGCATTAAAAAGGTAAAAAACCTTCTGCCTTTAGAACCACTTTAAACCCCAGGGTTTCATCAACTGGTTGCGATCACTTTTTCTGCACAGCTTTGGCTGCATGTGGAGAAAATATGAACAAAAAAGGTATATGAAAGAAAAAAAAAAAAAAAAAAAGTAATTCATATACTGAATGATCAATACCGGTTTGAACCCTATACAGTTACCAGAATACAATGTTATCACTATAGTTGCCTTTTAGGAGGACGTTTCTTAAGATTAATTTCTTCATTCAAAACTAAAATATACTGCATGACACAATTATTAGTTTTTGACACAGTGGAGAAGGATTAGAACCCTCAGGGATGTGCAAATCATATCACCCGACACCCAAGACATACAGTTTCAGGTGTCAGGCTTCTTTTTTTTTTTTTTAAACATTTAGCCCTACTGAGGGCATTTGACGTCAATGCAAAAACGCCTCCGAAAGACTTCAATGCAAAAACTACTGTCAATAGCAATCCTATGTGAACACTTACCTGCACATACTCACTCATCACCTGCAAGTCTAGAACGCACCGCTACAAACTCACAAAAGGTCCCTTTTCGTAGTGGCACTCAAAATGCAATGCATGTGGATCGCATCTGTGTGAACCACATCAGTAGGAATACATAATAATATCTAGCCAGTCATATGTAATTCCGGATGCATTTTCAAATGCACAGATTCGCATGTGTAAACCTGTGATCGCAGGTTCAGGTGCCATTACTTTCCATGGCACCTAAAAATAAGGTGCAGTTTTGCAGCGATTGTCGCACGGCAAAATGCATCACATGAAGCTGCTGCTGCTTTTTGGGCAACAAGTTTTACACAATGCAATTTGCCACAATTTCCATACAGTAAATCGTGCGACAATCGTGTCAAAACCACATAGCGTTTTAGGTGCAAAGAACCTGTGCTCTGCGATTCTAGTGCATTTTGACATTGCGGGCAGAATCGCAGCGATTCTTCTGCAATCCCAAAACGCCCAGGTGTGAATGGGGCCTATTGGAGTGGACACAGGAGCTTGATTTGACTGCTCAGCAGGCGTAGTACTGAGCATCCAAGTGTAGCCTGAACGAATAAAGTTTTTTTTTTTTTTTCCTCACTGGGGCCAGCGCCTTATTTACTAGTTCAGGAGATGCGCCTTTGCTGAGTAATAAAAGAAGCAGACACTCCCCTTTCCTGGCGAGCACCCAATCAGTGCTTGTTACACTGCATTCATTTTCAGGGAAATTAAGGTAAATCTCACAGAAAAAAAATCTGAAGTTGTAACTCTACCTTACTCTATCCAAAACACACACACCAAAAGGGAAGAAGGTTTTGCCTATAGTTCTACTTTAACCACTAGCCTACCGGGCACTTATACCCCCTTCCTGCCCAGACCAGTTTTCAGTGCTGTCGCACTTTGAATGACAATTGCGCGCGGTCATGCAACACTGTACCTATATGAAATGTTTATCACTTTTTTTAAACAGACAGAGATTTCTTTTGGTGGTATTTAATCACCTCTGGGTTTTTTATTTGTTGCTAAACAAACCAAAAAACTGAAAATTTAGAAAAAAAAAAATTTTTCTTAGTTTTTGTTACAAAATTTTGTAAATAAGTGATTTTCTCCTTCACTGATGTGCGCTAATGGGGCTGCAGTGATGGGCACTGATAGGTGGCACTGATGGGCATTGACATGCATCACTGAAAGGCACTGAAAGGCAGCACTCATATATGGCACTGATAGGCGGCACTGACAGGTGACACTGAAAGGCTGCTCAGATGGGCACTGATATGTGGCATGAATGTGCACTGGTAGGCACTGATATGCGGCATTGATGAGGCACTAATGGGCACTGGCAGGTGGCATCGATGTGCACTGACAGGTGGCACTGCTGGAGCTACACTGATCATCAGGGCACACTGTTCATCAGTGCCCTGATGATCTGTGTACATGTCCCCTCCGAAGGAATGCCGATTACCAGCTCTCCTCTCGAGCTGTCAGCGTGACAGGTCGCGAGGAGAGAAATGCCGATAACCGGCATTTCCCTATTTATATGTGATCAGCTGTGATTGGACACAGCTGATCACATGACCGATCCGACATCTTTGGCTCTTTCCGTTGATCGGTGATCCACTGTGTCCGAGGGACACAGCGCACCAGCGATCACCACGCTCCTGGAGCCGCGCACGTGCATTTAGAGTGGGAGGACATCATATGACATCCTCCCAGAACGAGAGAACTGGCTTGCGCCAGTCATAACTTTTTATGGTGGGCAGGAGGCAGTTAAAGTGGAATTCCACCCAAAAGTGAAAACTCCGCTTATCTGCCTCCGCTCTCCCCCCCGCTGCCACATTTGGCATCTTTTGGGGGGGGGTGGGGGAGCGGGTACCTGGTTTTGACAGGTACCCACTGCCACTTCCAGCTCAGTTCGCTGCGGTGAATTGAGTCGGATGTTGCCCCCCACAGCCCTCTGGAGCACTTCACAGGTCCCAGAGGACTGCGGCCCATTCACAAAACACACCGCACTTCGCACAGTAAAGAAACAGCTATCACTGCCAGTTTCCCTTAGTCAAGATGGTGGCGCCAGCACCCGACAGCCGATTGAAGAATCTGCTCAGGGGTGAGGACACTGCTGGATCCCTGAACAGGTATGTACCGTAATATTAAAAGTCAGCAGCTACAGTATTTGTAGCTGCTGAATTTAATTTTTTTTTGGCTGGGGGCTAGAACTCTGCTTTAAGCTAGCCATAGATGCCAGCCGGCTGATTAAAAGAAAAAAAAAAAAAAAAAAAAAGGGAAGAACAGGATTCCCACACAAGTGAGGTGGATTTGGGGAACGCCACCCTGCTGCACTATTATATCCTGAAAGCACGGACTCAGTTGTGTGAATGCACTGATCAATGCAATGCTGATCGAGTGAGAATTTTCCAACACTCCGGTTCAAGAGCAGTCGATCATTAGATCAACTTCTCTGAAGCTGGAAAAGCCATAGGTGGATCGAAAATCGGCCAGTTCTTGCTGAACTGGCCGATTTCCGATCCACCTTTGGCCAACTTTAGTATGCAGCAGTATCACCAGTGGTGTTCCGCGAAATGCAGCCTACAGCCTTTTGCCTCCAAAGTTCATTTTTCAGTGTTGCGTACTCATTGGTTTTTACCACTTGCCATCCATGCTATAGTCGAATGATGGCTACAGCGTGGTTGTCCAGTTCTGGGAGGGCGTCACATGACGTCCTCCCAGAACGCGCCCTCGGTGATCTCCGTGATGTGGTAAAAGCCTAATCACAGCGGCCTTTTACAATGTGATCAGCTGTGTCCAATGACACAGATCAAGTAAATGCAGTTGCTGGTTATTGGCTGCACTTTCCTCAGGGCAATGATGATCAGTGCCCAGCACTGCCACCCAATAGTGCCACCCACCTGTGCCCAGCAGTGCCGCCCACAAGTGCCCAGCAGTGCCACCCAGCATCGTTGTATATCAGTGCATCATCATCAGTGCTGCCTATCCGTGCCACCTCATCAGTGCCTATCAATGCAGCCTCATCAACGCACATCAGTGAAGGAGAAAAATTACCTGTTTGCAAAATTTTATAATAGAAACAAAGAAAAAAAAAAAAACTTTTTTTATTTTTTGCTCTTTTTATTGTTTATAGCGCAAAAAATAAAAAAACACCCAGCAGCAAGTAAATACCACCAAAAGAAAGATTTGTGTAAAAAAAAAAAAAAAAAAAAAAAAAAAAAAAAAAAAAACCATAAATATTTCATATGGGTACAGTGTTGCATGACCACGCAAGTGCCATTCAAAGTGCGACAGCGCTGAAAGCTGAAAATTAGCCTGGGCAGGAAGGTGGTATAAGCGCCCGGGTAGGCAAATGGTTAACGACCCAGCATGCAAACTTGAGGTAAAACTGCCAGCAAACCTCAACAGTGGAAATGCAAACCTTCATTACAAAGGAACCGTAGAGCACATAGTGTACACAGCCTTTCCCACATACTGCTGTTAGTGTGCGGTTATTAAAACAGTCCATAGACAAAGCTGCTTCATGAGAATGTCTGAAGTGGACAAAAATACAGGAACAATGAATGCCAACACTAACGGTCATGTATTGTACCTGTACATTCCAACTGTAGCCGTATGTCCTTCAAATATCAGATTGGTCAGTAAGGCGACTTTAAAACTGGACAGACTGTTCAATACACAGTTAAAATATGTGAATGTAAATCAACTTGCCAAATGATTGGTAATTCTATATAACCAGTGTTGTGATCCTTGCACTCCTGCTAGGCTGCTCAGCCAGGTCCTGTACCTCTGTTCAGACTGCACAGCAATTGAACAGTACAGCCTGGTAGAGATTTCTCCCTATCCTGTAACTGGACAACAAATAGGGCAGCACACTGATGAGGTAATCCCTGTACTCTTTACTGAATGCAAGCAAGTTCACAATGTTAGAGTGGAAGCACTGTGCTGATTGGCACCCAGTCATGCATAAGATTAGTAGACATATTTTTATGGATAGCGCTGTGTTATAGGCAGGGGCGGACTGACAACTCATGGGGCCCCCGGGCAATAAGGGATCATGGGGCCCCTGTGTCCTTGCCCAGACTCAAACAAGCCTATGAAAAAGGTACCAGGGGCTTCTCATGGGGCCCTCTACTGACCCCGGGCCCTCGTGCATTGCCCGAGTTCCCGAATGGTCAGTCCGCCCCGGGTTATAGCTAATGATTGTTCATTTTTATATCTGCCTGAAGTTCAGCTCCAAACGTTAATGATAGAAATGTTGTATATTGTAAGCATGTTGTAAGTGCAGTCATATACTCACGTCTCCAACAGTTATATTGAATGCCTCTGCAATCTTAGCATAGAGTTCCTTCACATTGCTGAATCCCTCAATCCTCCCAGTGGGGCTCCCATGTGCAAGCTGAGCGTGGAACACCAGCCGAGGCCTCAGGGCAGGAGCAGGAGGAGGGAGACCAGGGGCTTGAGGTGAGAGAGATCCACTTGACACACCACCAGTCTGAGACACTCCTAATGCCGTGCGTTCCCCCACATCGTCTTCCTCCATTAGTGGAGAAGCCTTCTTTCTACGTCCAAGGCCCAGAGGCATTGGGACTCCCAAATAGCTGGTCTATTACGGGTGTACAAACTGAGAGGAAACTAAGGAAAAAAAAAAGAAGAGTAGCATATTAAAGTATTACACAACATTGCTTTCCTATCGATCTGTGTGTATCCTTACATATCAGGTTAATGCACATACTACCTGGTTACGTATAAATTAAATGTAGGACCAGCATTAAAAGTACATTGGGCCCTCTGCAAAATTCTACCATTTACTCTATGACAAGGAAAATTAAATTCAACAAAATCTAATCCCTGTCCTACCGCAACCCACCCCCTAACTAAACACAAAATCAGGTCCCGACCACTACAACCTAGGTAAGGTAAGCAGACACCAGAAGGCACGGGGAGATTTACTAAACCTGGAGAGTGCAAAATCTGGTGCAGCTCTGCATGGTAGGCAATCAGCTTCTAACTTCAGTTTCTTCAATTAAGACTTTGACAAAAAAAAAAAAAAGTTGGAAGTCGGTTTGCACTCTCCAGTTTTAGTAAATCAATCCCAGTCTTACTCTTGTCTGTGGGGTAAAACTAAATGTTAGCAAGACTCTATGACCTCAATGCCGTAAAATATGTAGCAGTCACACCCATTCCCTGACACAACCAGTGTGAACAACCTAAGACTCATCTCCTTGCTCCCGTTTACTAACGACTTACTATGTGCGGTCCTCTGTAGGTTGATCATTTCCATCAAACGATGGGGCATCCTTACGTTCCTAACACATTACCCGTCCATATCAGTATAGACATCCAGCATGACACAGACAGACACCAGAAGAATTCATGTTCCATATTTCAGTGCACGTTTTTCCTGCTGAACTAACTTTTCTAAGTTCTAAATCTATATAAAAAGCCGAGGGCTGAAAACTGCTAATAGAAACCAGAAGTGTTATCAATTCTCTTGAGGAAGTTAGCAGCGGGCTGAATAGAATTCATGACTGAATGCTGTCACTTAAAGTCATTTTAGCTATTTATTGATACTATAAATCTATTTTTTTTATGTTTTTCATATGATCATATTTGGATTTCATTGATTTTTTTTTCCCCATTGAGATCTGATGTGTTTTCAAAAGTGTTTTTAATTTTTTTGAGCAGTGTATATCAATTTAATGGTAACCTGTTATTTCAGACTTTTCCTAATGCTGTAAGCTTTAGGTCTATCATTCATACCCTTTACCACTTAGTACCGGACTTGTACCAGGTATGAAGCCAGTAAAGCTGGGACTCATAGCCTGCATACTTGCTTCAATCAGTCAATCTTGAAGCAGCACTAAGGATAGACACCCTGGACCTTGCATCTTTAATATTACGTCAGAAATGGTAGCGGTCATATTTCTATCCTGCTATAAAACTGATGCTGACATATTCAGCTCTAATTTTCTCACTTACCACTTTAAAGGTTGAACAATGCCGATTTCCAACGCATCATCTCTCTGCTCTTAGGAGAAGTCCAATATCCTATTGATGTCGATAGGAAATTCATAGAATGGCTGCTCCAATCCAGCAGAGGTGAGGCAGAGGAAGTCAGCACTGCAGGCGGATGGGCAGAACACAGCTGCAGGGAAGAGGATCATTCACAAAGGTTAGGTAACCCTTTCTTCACACCCTGAATCCAAACATGTAGTTTTAGTGACTAGATCAATCTGTGCAATATTACTAAAGAGTTGGGACTCTAAATTTAAAGTAAACCTGCCTTTAAAAGAACATTGAGGCTGCCATCAACCTCCTTCTGAAGAGCCTAGCTGCGGAGCTTTAGAATTCAAATATTCAGCAACACAGAATGAGTATACAGGCCAAAAACATCAGAGAGAAGTCCACAACTCAAGAACTGGTAGAGGTCCACACATGCCACAATCAAAGGGTGTGTGGACTATGTAACATTTCTGAGTTTCTGGTCAGAAGTCCTTTTCTAAATACTTGGTCAGAGTCCTTAAAGTGGTTGTAAAGGGGGAAAAAAAAAAAAAAAAAAAAAAAAAAAAAAAAACACAACCAAAAAAAACCAAACCGGTCTATACTTACCTACTCTGTGCAATAGAATTGCACATAGCGGCCCCAATCCTCCTCTTCTCGGGTTCCCCGCCGGCATTCCTGGCTCCCCCTCTCTGTTCACTGCCTCCAATGGGAAGCCAATTTCCATGGGGGCACCTGTGCAGGCTTGCTCCCGTGTCCTGCTGCTGCATCCTTTGACGCTGACAGCAAGACTCAGCCTGCCCCCCAATTCCTCGTCTCTGGAATTGATTGACAAGAGTGCGAGCCAATGGCTCCCACTGCTATCGATCTGCCCAGGAAGGAGGAACAAAGTCAGCAGAGCCGCAGCTCTAGTGCACAGTGCTGGATCGTGATGGGGCTCGGGTAGGTATAGTGAGGGGGGAAGGTGAGGGGGGGAGCATGTGGCACAGAAGGTTTACCTGAATACAGTCAGGTAAAAAACCTTGAGGCTAGGGAGCGCACGCACAAGCGGCTGGAGTGGATGTCCTGCTGACCGCTCTGCACAATCCTGGCACTTCAGGGGTGATTAAAAGCAGCCCCAACTCACCTGCACCCCCAAAACTGCTTGCTGGGAAGGTGGGGGCTCTTCCTATTCCCACCCGACCAGCAAGTCTGCAGGTGGATCCCGCACCGCAGCTAAGGGGGCGGGCATGGGAGGCAAGATGGAGCCCGGCGCCGGCTCCAACGCCTCCTCTGCTGCTGAGGGATCACAGCGGCGGTCACAAGGGACAGTACCTCCTTCCTCCAACCCTGGACATCGGGATGAAAGCTTCTCCAGAGCCATGGATCATGTGAGTAATCTCCCTGCACCCTAGTTGTCCTCGGTCTCCCTCACAGGCCGCCAATCTTCCTCCAGGCCATGATTCCCAAACTTCTTCCCTGCTAGACAGGGAAATGGCAGATATCTTTATTAGTCAAACAAGTAGCAAAGACTCCACACGATGGCCCAGTGGATTCTGCTGCCTTTCCTCCTGCACCCCTGCATTATTCTAGGGATTCCACACTCATAGCACGTTTAGCTGATTTACTACAGTGGGAATTAGCTAAACCTACCACTAAGTTGGCCTCTGACCTGAAACAGGAGTTTCATGGAGTGGGAGATCAAATCTAAAGTTGATGATACAATTCAGAGTGACTCAAAATTCTAGCATGATTGACGACTTACAAGACCAATTGGACTAGGCTTACAATAAAATGGATGATCTCGAGAACCGTGCTAGGAGGTGCAATTTTCAAATTAGAGGGCTGCCTGAAGTGGTAAAAGATATTGTGTATTGCCCATTCCCTTATCCATGCTGCAGTACTGATGACTGATGAAATTCTTCTGAAAATAGATCGTATCTACAGGGCTTTTGCGGCCGGATGACCCTCTTCGAGACATAATAGTGAAGCCTCACTTTTTCAGGGTCAAAGAGTCAGTGATGTGTTACGCTAGGGAACATCCAGATTTAGAGGTTGATGGATACCGGATTCAAGTCTTTACAGACATCTCTCAAGCTACCATCCAAAAGAGAAGGGCCTCACCGTTAATCCAGAGGGACATCCGCTACCGATGGAACTATCCGTTTCGTCTACAATTTCTTTAGAACAGAAAATCCTACTCCTTCTCTACATTTCTCAAGGGGGAAAGACTCTTGCTGAACTTGGGCTTTATCTCCCTTAGCCCCCGGAACCAGCCCACAGTTAATGGACCCCCCAAATCTCACCTCTATGGTCTCCTGCCTCCAGGAAGAAATCCTCAAAAGCAACATCACATCGGGTGTCTTGAAGACTGCTGCTGCTTAAAAAGGGTCAGTGGTCCCATTGTATGTGGATACTAGTTTATGGTTTTGATTGTTAATTTTTAATCTTTGGTAAAATAATTTGGTGGCTTTAAAAGTCTTATCTATGTTTCATTTGGACCTCAGGGTGCTGGGAAGAGTCTATGCACTCTCCCTATTCAAAAGACTCTCCCCATTGTTTGACTTTGTGGAGACTCTTTCTGTCCTATCCTAGTGTCTAGGATTTGGTATTTTACTATCTTACATTGCATACTATTGTTTAGCCTGTAGTTGGATGTGGGCCATTCTTCGGCCTTGGCGTCCTTGGTTTCTCTCTTTTTACTTATTTCAAATTTTCTAACCCTTTCCACTTTTCTTGTTTGAGGGTCAACCCGGGAATCTCGAACAGCTTCTGGATACTTGATATTCCACACGAATGGGTAAGTTTCTCTGATAATGGCCATGCCACTTGCTTTCCATGTCTACCTTAAAACAACGCACTGCCATGATCCGCTTGCTTTCTTTGCTTGCATCGCCAAGACCTAACTGACGTGTGGAGGGAGGCCAATCCCACCAGTAGAGACTATTCCCACTTTTCTAGGGCTCATAATCATTATTCTCATATAGATCATGTTTTCTCCCCTCGGAAATGATAGCCAAGCTACATTCAGCCAAAATTATATCAACACCTTGGTCGAACCACGATCCTGTGATTCTGATGCCCTCTACTTTAACGGTTTTAAAATGGTTAAACCACAATGGCGATTAAATGAGTCCTTACTAAGCAACGAGTCCTGGTGCTTGGAAGTGGGCAAACACCTAAAGTTCTATTTTGCAATGAATAAAGTGGAGGATACGAATCCCTCTATTAAATGGGTAGCCCATAAAGCCTCAGTTAGATGCTTCTTTATCCAGCTGTCCTCCAGAATAAAAAAAAAAAAAAAAATCCCGTGATTTCTGCCAAATGTGGAGAATATGAATTGCTAGTTGCCCAACATAAAATTGCCCCGACCTCGGATCTTTTATCTATGGTGGAGCAAGCCCACAAAGCAGAAAAGCAACTACGCTGGATTAATCAGATTTTTTACATGGCGGGACAGACCAGGTTCCTTTCTAGCGCATAAGCTTACCCCCAAATTCACTCACTCAGCACTGCCCAAACTCTGACTACCGGGGGGGGGGGGGGGGGGGGGGGTGTACTATCACGCAAGAGCCTCAGAAAATCCTTCGGGAATTTCATGAT